GAGCTGAGCCACCCCACCCACCCTAGGTCCTGTGCTCGCCCCCTCCCCTCTGCCCCTCACATAGGGCACCCCCGGCAGGACCCCACCACCCGCCCCGAGCAACGCCGGGTAACTCCAGCTAGTGTGCTCTAAATATAGGACAAGAGCAGACATACAGAAAGATGCTGCCAGAAGAATGCAAGGATATGGTGACACAATATTGAGCAGCACAACAGGCAGTGGTCTCATTAGGACTGACCATAAGTTCTCATTATCACCTGCAAAGTCTCAAAGAAGAATTATGCTTTCGAGAGGGATACGAATGTAGTAGGGCACAGGAGTTCCAAGTGTACTAAATGGAGGCTACGTTCATTGAGATGCCACAGTCATTGGTGGGAACTGAAGCTGAGATCTTATCCCCAAAGCCATACATCTCTACCACTTGAGGTAAAGGTCTTCTATAGTTATCTACTGATTTAAGCAGCAGACTGCTAGTCCCAGAGGCCAGCTACCAGGTGACATGATCTCACCTACTAAATCACGCCTATGGTGCGAAGATTAGAGCCTGATTACAGGTACATGAACTGAGCTTTGGGACTGGGAAAGTTGCATCCAGCAACTCACTGTGTCTGGTTATTTTTTCTACTCTGTCAATCAGTTGCTCTTGAAATCAAGCATCTGTGTCAGTGTTTTGTACCACAACCGATTAAAACTTTAACACCGTGTACAGTCCAATCCTGTTCCCTTTTTTAACAAGCAAAGTTATCCAATGGGAACAGGCATCCATAACTCCCAGAGTCAGTCATAAGGGATTCCCAGTTAGGATCATTGTTAACCTGTATCACTGTGAGTCAAAGTCTGTTCTCACTGAAAATAAATGAGATTTTGGCCCTTAGAGTATTTCAGTTCTCATTCTTTTTTTTTCCACCTCTCTACCACACAAAGCAAAAATAACCTTGAAAAGCATGTCTGGCACCAGCTATATGCATTCAAGAGTTATTACTGTTTTAAAATACAACCATATAAACTGTACTGAACTGGGTCACCTGTTGACATGTTTTTTATAGTCTGACTCATTTTTATTTAATATGCTGACACGTTTCATGGAATCCACAATGCATTAAATTCAAAGGAAATTGTGAAGAGTAGCTCAAATACAGCCTGTTAAATAGGAACAGCTGCATTTATTTTATAGCAACAATGATCTTGAGACAGTAAAGTATTTTCCTTTGTAATATGCTATTCACACTCTTCTGAGCTAAAATGCTTTGGTATTCAAGAGTAAAGGTAGAATTCAATGCTGGTGAAGCAAGTACATAGGGGTGGCAAAAGGTTAAGTGCAATATAAGCAAGCAGTAGGTGCCTACCCTTTATAAGGCCTCTAGAAGAAGTACTGTGACTTTAACAATATTTTTAAATTAACATAATGTTTACTCTGATCATTTCTCTGAGAAGTTGTCCACCTGTAGGATCAAATGGGCTAGTACAGATATGCCTGTGCAGGACCCCTGTGAAATCAGCATGGGTCGAGATGGGCAACAGCATCTGTCCACACACTATTGGATCATGATTCAGGACTGTGATAAGCCAATCAGATTTCTGCCCATTTAATCCCCTAGGAGACAAAACCATCCAACTAGCCTTAGAACTTGGGTGAATCTCTTCACTGAGATGAAGCAAGTATTTCATCTCTTCTGGTGCATACGTACTGTCCTTGGTGCAAACATACTATCCTGATTATCAATTTGGTCTCTCTCTCAAAATAAAACACATTAGGAGGCCTGCATCAGTGTTTAATTCCTTCTTGAAACTGTTTCCCCCTCTTTGGGTAATTTGAGTCAGTTTCTGAAGTTCTAGTTCGCCATCTGAGACTACACAGTGATTTCCTCCCCCACAAAATATATGAATTCCTCAACTACAGGATGCTGCATGCTGTAAATTAATTGGCATTCTGATAATTCAGCTGAAGGGAGCCTGAACAATAGATTGCGTAGCAATTATGCTGAACTAAATGCCCAAGTGTGAATGCTGATTTTTACATTTCCAAACTTTCATACGTATACAATTACTAGAAGATGTACCCAGCATTGCTTGGGTCCCTCAGGGCAGGGAGCTGGGTGTGTGGGGTAGGGATGCTGATGTATAGTAGACTACATGATTAACCAATACGCCTAGGCTTACAGGTTCATCCTGTTAATTACATGCTCTCCCCAACCCCTGAGTATCAGAGGCAACAAGCTGGGGGGAGCTGGGAGCCGGTGCCTATGAGGAGCTCGCTCCCCACAAGCACAGTCTTGCATGGATTTGCCTGCCCCCTTCTTCACCCCTGTGCTGCTACCTCTGATAGAGAGGCAGCAGGGGTGGGCAAAAGGACCTCCATGGGCTGGATCAGGATGGATCCAGCCCATGGAAGCCCTGCCACTCCCCTCCCCCAGGCCAATTAGGGCCTAGGGAGAGGTGAGCACATGCCACTTAAGAGTCAACCCTGGCACCTGACTCTAAGCGCCGCACACTGGAGGGCTGGGAGTGAGAGACTTTAGAAAAGTCAGACATACGCAAATCCATGGGGCCAGATTTAATGCATCCAAGGGTGATGGATCCAGCCCATGGAAGCCCTGCCACTCCCCTCCCCCAGGCCAATTAGGGCCTAGGGAGAGGTGAGCACATGCCACTTAAGAGTCAACCCTGGCACCTGACTCTAAGCGCCGCACACTGGAGGGCTGGGAGTGAGAGACTTTAGAAAAGTCAGACATACGCAAATCCATGGGGCCAGATTTAATGCATCCAAGGGTGCTGAGGGAGTTGGCAGATGCCATTGCAGAGACATTGGCCATTATCTTTGAAAACGGGTAGAGATTAGGGGAAGTCCCAGACAACTGGAAAATGGCAAATATAGTGCCCATCTTTAAAAAAAGGGAAGAAGGACAATCCAGGGAACTGCGGACTGGTCAGCCCCACCTCAGTCCCTAGAAAAATCATGGAGGGAAATCCTCAAGGAATCCATTTTTAAGCACTTGGACAACAGCAAAGTGATCAGGAATAGTCAACATGGATTCACCAAGGATAGGCCATGACTGACCAACCTGACTGCCTTCCACCGCAAAGAACAGGGGCTCTGTGGACAGGGGGAAGGTGGTTGACATGATATACCTTGACTTTAGCAAAGCTTTTGATATGGTCTCCCACAGTATTCTTACCAGCAAGTTAAGGAAGAATGGATTGGCTATATGGACTGTAAGGTGATTAAAAGTTGGCTAGATTGTCAGGCTCAATGGGTGGTGATCAACCACTCAATGTCTAGTTGGTGGTTCATATCAAGTGGAGTGCCCCAAGTGGCTGCTCTCAGGCCAGTTTTGTTCAACATCTTTATTAACGACCTGGATGAGGGGATGGACTGCATCCTCAGCAAGTCTGTGGATGACAAAGCTAAGGGGAGAGGTAGATACATTAGAGGGCAGGAATAGGTTCCACAGTGACCTAGACAAATTGGAGGATTGGGCCAAAAGAAATCTCATGAAGTTAAACAAGGACAAGAGCAGAGTTTATATACATGAGATGAAAAAATCCCAAGAACTGTTACAGAATGAGGGTAAGCAGCAGTTGAGCAGAAAAGAACCTGGGATGAGAAGCTGACTATGAGTAAACAGTGTGCCCTTGTAGCCAAAAAGGCTAATGACATATTAGCATGCATTAGCAGGAGCATTGCCAGCAGATCTAGAGAAGTGATTAATCCCCTTTATTTGGCACTGGGGAGGCCACATCAGAAGTATGGTGTCCAATACTGAGCCTCCCACTACAGAAAGGACGTGGACACATTGGAGAGGGTCCAGCCGAGGGCAATCAAAATGATTAGAGGGTTGGAGCGCATGACCTATGAGGAGAGGCTGAGGGATTTAGGTTTGTTCAGTCTGCAGAAGAGACAACAGGGGGGGATTTGATAGCAGTCTTCAACTTCCTGAAGGGAGGTTCCAAAGAGGATGGAGAGAGGCTGTTCACAGAAGTGACAGATGGCAGAACAAGGAGCAATGGTCTCAAATTGCAATTGGGGAGGTCTAGTCTGGATATTAGGAAAAACGATTTCACTAGGAGGGTGGTGAACCACTGGAATGAGTTACCTAAGAAGGTGGTGGAATCTCCACCCTAAAGGTTTTGAAGTCCTATCTTGACAAAGCCCTGGCTGGGATGATTTAGTTGGGGTTGGTCTTGCTTTGGGAAGGTTGGACTCTATGACCTCCTGAGGTCTCTTTCTAGCCCTATTATTCAAAATAGCATTTTTTTATAGCAACTTGTTAAAAATGTACGTGAAGCCAAAAGAAAAATAGACTTTTTGCTTTTTAAAAGTTGTTTCTCATCCAAAGAAGTGAATAACTCTATTCCGATCTTTATTTTGTTTTCATGATTTATTCCAGCTTTGTATTCTGATAACAGACCTACAATCTACAAGAATAAGGCGAAATAAATGTATAGTCAGACCCTTTCATCAGGGATGACTTCGGTTTTTTAAAAGATACCATCACTGAATTTCAACTGTTAAACTTGCCTTCATGTTTCTGAAATTCCTCCTCTGTGAAATTGATGTCTTTGTGCGACAGGTTTGTCATCAGCTGTTTGTTCTCTTCCTGAAGCTGAGCAATTTGGGTAAGAAGATCTTGTGCTTCCCCTCTCCATACATCCTCCACCAGTTCTAATTCCTAAAATGTTGGATCATGACATAAGATTAATGCTGTAACAAACAATCAGTAGCCTTGGACCAAACTATATGTGCAGAATACACTATCATGTTGCCCCTAAAGCTATCCTTTTACAATAATACTTTGTATTTCTCACTAGCTACATGAAAACATCAATCTTTTTAATACTGTGTAAATGCCAACTGGCTCTATACAGCATCAGGGCCCCATTGAGCCGAGGTGTGTGTGCGCACATATGAGACTATTCCTGCACACAGAGCTTAGAGTATATACAACCAGCATTCCCTGTAAGCTGAGCTCTTGGGAAGCTGCCCAGAAAAGAGTCAAATGCCACCTAGCTGATTAGCAAAGCGCTAGCAGCATGTGTTTCTGGTGATGGTATACATCTGCATATATCTTGGTGCACAGAACAAAATTTAATCTGCACATGGATGGAAAAAATTAGAGGGAACATTGTACGCAACCAAAGTTTTAAAAAAATTATTATTCCCATTTCACAGGCAACTGAGACACAAGGAGATTACATGGCTTTCTCAAGGTGACAGAGACATGCATATAAGAGGCAGGAACTGAGTCCAGGTTCCATGAGTTCTAGGCAGCACTAACAGCATAGTAAAACACACAGCTCACAACATTTGTCAAGCTTTTCAGTGGCAGTGCTGGGCATGCTATTTTTTTAAAAGTGCATAATGTTCCATTACATGGCACCATCACTAATCTAAATTGTAATGTGTGATACTGTAGAGAAGGGGTGAGGAACCTTTTTTGGGTTGGGGGATGCGGACCCACAGAATAATCAGTCAAGAGCTGCACTCAAATGATGGGGAAAAAACCCTCACTGACATGGCCGCCAACTAAGAAGGAGAAAGACACTCCCCACATTTCTCTCGCACACCAGAGCCACGAGGAGCCCAGGTTTGCAGATTTTGTGTGCTCCAGTCCCATGGGCAGGCAGCGGGAGAACTGGAGCACCAGTGCAGGCTCCCCAAGACTGGGGGGGGGAACAGGAGGGATTGAGCTTCAGTGGCCAGCTTCAGGGGACTGCATCTGGGCCTCAAGTTCTCCACCTCTGCTGTAGAGTATTGTGTCTGTGTTTATTTTTTGTCTAAGGCAAAATCCAGAACTCATTCCCAGGCTTGTGTTTTCACCATTAGCTTATGCTTTTTTTTGCTTATTTTAACTTCCTGTAATCACATGTTGTAATGTGAACTATATAGAGAACAGCTATGTTCAAATTAGCAATACCTTTATTCAGGACACTTTATGTCAAGGGCAGCTGTAACCAATTCCAGTAAAGGTCAAATCAGGATATTACATATAAAGACCCTTAGTATACTTAGTATACTAAGAATAGAGTATAAAGACCCTTAGTAAAGTATACTAAGAATAGAGGAGACCATATTTATTTTGAAAACTTCATCACAAATATCAGTATTTCTCCTTGTAGGCAAGCTACGCTCCATTTTCTTGCATGTGTTCTGACTAGCAGAAAACCTATGCTCAGCACACAGAACAACACCAAGATGAACTACTAGTTGTTTTTTCTATATGTAATTCTACATGGGGCATGTTGTATCTACGGGAAACTTCAAAATAGAGCTGTGCTTTTAACACAGGACTAGGATTAACTCTACTGAAGAGAATACTGTGGAAAAAAATAGCTAGGCTTGATGGAATTCATTTTTTTATAATTGATGGATATCAATTTAAGCAATTTTTCAGTTTAAATGTTTGTGGTTGTACACAATTGAATAAAGCTTTTTTCCTAATTTTTTACTGATTTGAATTTTCAAAGTTGTGAGAGATGGAAGGGCAGATAAGAGAGACTTTGGTCAATAATTATTTAATTACAACAGATGTTTAGATTCAAAAAGTTAGTTTTATAACTGTTAAAATACAAATTGCCAACAGCCCATGTCAAAATAGACTAAGTTAATATCCTCAACTCTAAGAAGCTCTCATGAGGCATTTTCCTTCCTTTGCTTCTCTGTAAGTTTCAATTATTTGTTGATTTAAATGTTTTTGTTGGCTTGCCTGTGTGCAGTGAAACCATTTTAAAAACCAAATCCTTCTATCTCTAACCATAATTCTAAATTAAAAACTTCATATGAAATTAGAGGACTATGTTGGCCCATGAACAAATGAGTATAAACAAGCTGTGAATAAATATCATCTGGAAATTAGGAGATTTCTAAGCATGTAAAGAATGAAGTTCTAAAACTGCCTTCTTGTGGAAGTACTAGGACAAGTGACCTAAAATATTTTTAAGGAGAAACTTGTGATAGGAATGCCTGAAATAGCAGGAGATTGAATCTGATGATTCCCAATCCTATATCCCTATGAACTTGTGATTCCATCCATTTTCAGGCCCAATCACACAGTCATTTTAATCCAAAATTCAGACTCAACTAGTTGTTACTTTTATAGTGTCTAAAAGTGTGTTTGGTGATTCACTGAAGAGACAGGATGATCACTCTTTGGACTGAACTATTGGGGGAGCACAGGGAAAGAACAAACTAATCTCCATGTGATGGATATTAATGTCGATTATCATTATCTTTACCTGAAATATTTAGACTAGAAGAAAATCTGTTAACCAAACACAGTGTAGGAATAGATGTCACATGTGTAGCCCAAGGTCTAAAATGAAATATAGTGATCATATGTAGAGGGAAACATCAAAACATGCACTGAGTTTTAGGAGTGGGTACACTATGCTAAACTTTCTGGTACTGCTACCAAGAATAGCATTCTCTTCTAGTATTCTTTTTTAGTAAAGTGATGATCATCTGCAAACTATTTGATAGCTCCTATAAAATATGTTGGGGGTTGTCAAGTTTTTAGGTAGGTTTTATCAGACACGTGCTCAGTTCACAAAAATGCCTTGAGAGTAAGCGGTCAAGAGTTATTGTTCCATTCTAGCAGAGGGACCAGGACTGAAAAGAGCTGGAGAAATGAGCAACCTGCTTACTCAAAGATTGTTCTCTAGATCAGAAGGGAGGCCCTTTAGAAGGACAAAGAAAAGGGCATAGGGATTGTTTCTGGTCTGTCGCTCAAAAAAATTAGATCATTTGCTAGGGATTTACCAGCACTTTCTTCTTCCTTCAAAAATGTTAGATCAGAAGGCTCTAGGCTGGCACAAAGCTTTTAAATATGTTCAGCTAAATTTCTTCCTGGCAGCTTTGCTGGGTTTGAGGAAGTTTTGTATTTAACTACATCTTGAGTGAGCTTTGAGATTTTCTGTAAATATCTTTATTTTGCATCCGTGCCAGCAATCAGCAATAGCACAAGACAGTGAGTGGTGACACTGGAGTGACTTAGCTGAAAGGAGCAATTTTTAACCACATCATACAAAAATCAATAAACAAAGCAGCTCGTGTCTTCCAGCCATATTAGGGAAACAGGGTTTTG